GGGGCGGGGCTAGGGCGGGGCTCCTCCCGTCCTCTTTTTTGCTTGCTGAAATATGGTAACCCTAGACCACATGTCCCGATTTTATAGGGACAGTCCCGATTTTGGGGTATTTTTCTTGTATAGGATCCTATTACCCCCAACCCCCGTCCTGATTTTTCACACTTACTGTCTGATCACCCTAACCGGTGGCACCTTAAAGATTAACAGATTTATTTTGGCAAAAGCTTTTGTGGGTAAAAACCTCACTTCTTCAGATGCATGGAGTGAAAATTACAGATGGCGGCCTTATTATACTGACACATGGAGAGAAGGGAGTTACCACACAAGTGGAGAACCAGTGTCGACAGGGCCAATTCAATCAGGCCCTGCCTGATACAACCGAATTTAGCCAAGCTCCAAGATACAACCACATTTGCTCCAATCCGTCAGACAGAGACAAACACCTACAGGAGCTCTATCAAGCATTCTTAAAACTACAATACCCACCTGGGGAAGTGAGGAAACAGATTGACAGAGCGAGACGGGTACCCAGAAGTCACCTACTACAGGACAGGCCCAACAAGGAAAATAACAGAACATCACTGGCCGTCACCTACAGCCCCCAGCAAAAACCTCTCCAGCGACTAGGGACTGGGAGTGGCTGGCTCATTACAAGAACAACTTTGCCTCTCCTGGAATTGACACCTCCTCATCTATTATTGGGAATGGACCAAATCCACCCTGATTGAATTGACCCTGTCAGCACTGGTTCTCCACTTGTGAGGTAACTCCCTTCTCTTCAAGTGCCTGTATAATAATTCCTGCATTCGTAAATTTCACTCCATGCATCTGAAGAAGGGGGTTTTTTACCTACAAAAGTTTATCCCCAAATAAATCTGTTAGTCTTTAAGGTGCCACCGGACTCCGCGTTGTTTTTGTGGATACAGACTAACACAGCTACACCCTGATACTTGACACAATGTAATACAAAGCTGGCCAATTTTTTTCTGTGTGTGGGGGGGGAGGGTTTCACATCTTATTAGTGAGATTGTCTTATGTCCCACCCCCTCCCGTTCCCTGGCATCTGGGCCCCACGTCCCCTCCCATTCCCCATCACCCCTGGGTCCCAGACTCCCCTCCTGTTCCCAGCTTAACACCACCCCTTCCCCCCAGTTCCTCCAAGACCCTTCTAGGCCATTCTGGGAGTGTAAAGGGGCTTTAAAGTAGGTACATAGGCTACTGAGAATCTCCCCTGTCTTGGGGGGGGCCTCTCCGGCTGGTGTGGAGCTGGGGTAAGGGCCCTCCCCCACCCTGTTCCCAACCCCCAAAATGGGGGGCAGATTGGCAGTGTGGCTAGAGTGCAGTGCGCTGTGGGTGTTCTCTGCTTCCCAGGGCCCATACGGGAGCACTGGATAAGGCAGAGCAGCCCCGAGGCTGCTGTAACTGACACCACGAGCCAGGCAGGGCCTGGCCCAGCCCCAGATTTCAGGGAGCACAAAGGGGACTCAAACCAATTTTACCCCATCCCAGCCCCAGTCGCAGGACGGGAGTAGCCGGGAACGAGGTCCAGAGCGCTCAGAGCATTAATGACGCCTGTCTCTCTGCAGGGGGCTCCGGGTGCAAACTCTGCCCCCTGGACTGGCAGCTGCGCGGGGACAAGTGCTACTGGGTCTCCAGAGGAAGTAAAACGTGGAACGCAAGCCGTGTCGACTGCTCAGCGAGGGGCTCCCAGCTGCTGGTGATCTGGGACCAGGAGGAGCTGGTAAAGGGGATGATACCTTCCTGCTGGAGCTGCCCCTGCAGGGCTGGGCCCTGGGGACAGAGTCCGAGGGCGCATAGACTACATGGTAGGACAGGGATTTTCAAAGCTGCCTGGGGGATTTGGACATTCTGTTAGCATTGTTAATAATGGGGTGTCCAAACCCCCTAGGCAGCTTTCACAATCCCAGCCTAAATCACTAGCCCCAGGATCAGGGGCACACAAAGGTGGCTTAAAGCCACCCGGTACCCTCCCCCCTCTGGGGTGTGCCCAGCACAGCTCAGCTGGAGAGAGGGGCTGGGTGTGTGAGGATGGGTGGCTACAGAGAGACGGGGGATGGCTGGGGATGGCTGGATGGAGAGAGGAGTGTCTATGGTGGATAGTTGGATGGATAGATGGGTGTGTATGGGGGATAGTTGGATGGATAGATGGGTGTGTATGGGGGATAGTTGGGTGTGTATGGGGATAGATAAATGGGGTGGATAATGGATGTGTATAGGGATAGATGGACAGACAGACAGACGTTCTGCTCCTGAAGTTGTTGACAACCTGGATTCACAAGAAAAGAGCCCGACAGAACGTCTGGTCACCAGCTGCCTGTCACACACTCACTGCAGGAGTTCCTAAAGGACCTGACACAAGGTTCACAACTGTTCTGGATTGGACTGTCCATCTCCTCCTCGGAGAAGGCCTGGACCTGGCTGGACGGCTCCCGGCTGGATCAGACCCAGTGAGTGATTCCTTGAGTCAAACCCTTTCCCTCCCCTCCGTGGGCAGAAGGGGCCAGGGCTAGGGATGGGGGAGGTTTGGGGGGAAGGTCGGGAGCTCAGGGGGAGCTGTGTTCAGTGTCAGACAATGTTGAGACCCCAGGAGGGGGGCTGGGGGGCCCGGCTGAGAGGGGGGCTGGGTGAGAGCAAACAGGGCCATGGGGCAGGGAGGGATTTGCGCAGCGTCCAGCACTGAGATGGTGGCTGGAGCCCTGGGGATGGGAAAGGTGGCCCAGAGACGGGATGTGGAGTGAGAAGAGCAAAGGGGCCAGGCCAGAGCCCTGGGGATCCCCCAGACAATGGGGCGGGAGGAGGGAGGGAAACGGAGCAACTGGAGAGACAGGAGGGGACCAGGAGGGGGCAGCGTCGGCCCAGCCCGGTGGGGAGGAGACGCGGGGGCAGGGGAGGGAGCTGGACAGGGTCTAGCCCAGCAGGGAGGATGAGGCTGGAACAGATCCCTGGGCTCTGGGCAAGGAGAGGCCGTTCGAGACCCTGGCCAGGGCCCTGACAGTGGGGAGAGGGGGCAGCCCCCAGGGCAGAGCTGGAGGAGACAACGGCTGCGGATCCCGTTAGAACAGGGAAGAGCCGCTACAGACTGCGTGTGATGGACCCACACGCGCTGACAGGGCCCCTCTCCTTTGTCCCGCAGGTTCCAGGCACCAGGCCCGGCTGAGGGGAACAGCTGTGGGGCGGTGAAGGGGAATCGGATTCATTCTGACCTCTGCGGCTCTGTACTTCGGTGGATTTGCCAGAGAGACGCCGTCCCGCTCTGAATGGGGCATCCGTGGCCCTTTAATAATGGCAAGGAGCCTTTCATCAATAAAAGCATCATGAGAGATCTTTGACACTTTATCTAGTGCCTGTCATGTGAGGATCTCAAAGCACCTCCCAGGCTCAGTCAGATTCATCATCCCCATAACATGGATGGGGAAACTGAGGCACTGATAACAGAATTGACCTGTATAGGGTTGCACAGAGAGTCAGTTGCAGAGCTAGGAATTATTCCCCCAGCACTGGAATCCCTGTCCCCCTGCTCTAACCCCCACCCTTTGCGTAGAGCTAGGAGACAACCCCGCAGTCCTGACACCCATCCCCCCAGCAGCTGCCCCCTCTCGGCGCATTTTTCTCAGGCTCTCGGCAGACTCAGGCAGCGTTGCTGGGTCAGTTCCGCTCGGGACAGCTCACACCTGTCAGGGTGACTGGCTCAGGCTCTCCGCAGACTCAGGTGCTAATGGCCCACAGGAGCTGGGGCCCTGGGCTCGGAGCCACACGGGAGCCCTGGTTGCCCCCTCCTACCTTTGGAGATCTGGGCCTTGCTTTCCTGGCCACGTTAACACCCTTTTGGGGGGATCTTGTGGGGGCAGCTGCACTGAGCACGGTCAGGCTTTGGGGGCACCAGCAACCTCCGCTCCATCGTAAGGAGGTTTCTGAAAGGCGCAGGACTCGGAAAGGGCAGATCTGGGGACGTGGGGGGTGGAGGGGCTGCCGTGTGACAATCTGCCTGGGGACAGAGCATGAAACAGTCCCTGCTGCTGTGTAAAGGGGACGATGATCCCTCCGGGGTGGCAGAGGTTCAGTCCATCGCTGTGGGGGATGGGCTCAGAGGCTCTAGTGACGGGGGCCAGAGAAGCCCCTGGACAGACTGTGCCCCTCACCCCGGTATCAGGGCGGCTGCAGCTGTAGGGGGTGGGGCGTCCGTGGCTGGCTGTGAGTACTGTTGTCGCTGAGTAGGGGGGCGGAGCTGAGGCCTGTGGGGCTGACCGGCCCCCTGCCGCCCACACGTGTCCGGGGCAGTGACTCAGTTTCCTGTGAGGTCTCATGCCTGGGCCCCTCTCAGAGGTGTGGAGGCTTCTGCTGCAGCAGGAGGGCAGCCCTGCCCCACCCCCGCTGCCCTGGGGAGCTCGACTGCTGCTCTGCCTGGGGACGATGCAGGACGAGGAGGGCGACACGGGGCTGGTCCCGCAGCCCCAGAGGGGCAGCCTGTCCGCAGCTGGGAACCAAGGTAGTGACTGTAACCCCCTCCCCTCCCCTCCCCTGCCCTCCCCGCCATGTTATCCGTGTCCCAGCAGCAGGGTCAGGGCTGGGCTGCCACCCCAGGGAGGGGCCGGGGGGCGGCAGGGTCTGCATGGAGCTGGGATATTATGGGCATATGACAGACTAGAGGGTTTGATCCTACTGATCCCAGCTCCCCTCTGAGCACCTGACTCCCAGCCCTCCCTGCTCTAACCCACTGCACCCCACTCTTCCCCCACAGGTGGGATAAAACCCAGCTCCCCCAACTCTACCCCCTAGATCCCACTGCTCCCACCAACTCTCACTATTGAAATTAGCGGGATCACTCCCAGGAGTCAGGGCTGCGGGATCAGCCCCTACGGGTGCAGGGACCCGGCAGAGGTGTGAGACTTTGGGGGCTGTTTATTGGTGGGGACTGCAGAGCTAGCCTGAGCTCATGACTGATGAGCAGCTGTGCGTGTGGAAGGGATGACTAGTGGTTAGAGCACAAGGCCGGGACTTACGGGTCCCTTCCTGGCTGAGCCACACACCCCGGGTGACTTGGGCCAAGTCTCTTCATTTCTCAGGGCTGCAGCTCCCAATCTGTAAAATGAGAGTAAAGATCCTTCCTTCATCTAGCCAGTTTGTGCACGGCCAGGGGCAGGGACTGTCTCTCCCTGTGTGTCTGTGCAGCGCCCGGCACAACGGGGCCCTGAGCTCAGCTGGGGCAGGGACTGTCTCTCCCTGTGTGTCTGTGCAGCGCCCGGCACAACGGGGCCCTGAGCTCAGCTGGGGCAGGGGCTGGCTCTCCCTGTGTGTCTGTGCAGCGCC